CAAAAGGAGTTGAACCTGTGTATTGTAGATGAATACAATATTTTTTTTACGTCGGACACGCAGCCAAACATCACTTACATGAAAGTAGCATTTTCTCTTTTCATTAAGCACGCCAGTCCACCACTTGATCTTAGAGTTAAATTTCAGTAACAGCACGGGGGCCGGTAGTTTGAGATGTAAGCGGGAAGTCTGCCTTCATGCATGTCTTCCCGTAGATCTGCTTCAAATAAACTATTCCTAAGAGCTCGTGGTGACAATCCTAGGGTCCCATTTGATCGAAATTGTACTGAGGTGACCGCGGAGATTCTAAAATTGCTGCCCTTAAAATTCGTTGGAATTAGTTATTGCCTACCCTACGTAATCAATCCTCACATCAGATAGACAAGAATCTGCTATTAGTAAGTTTTTTTTTCTGCTTATCCAACAGGACATAACCTTATTGTGGTATAACTTTGTTATTGTCTGTATCGGAATATCCCACAGGGTTTTTAATTTGCTATTCTATCTATCTATCTATCTATCTATCTATCTATCTATCTATCTATTATTATCAATATTATTAGTAGTAGTATATTTAAAACCTCTCAAACTCTTAGATGTTTTGCGCATATGATGATGATCAACGCCTACCTGCAGCTTAGAGACAGTTCACTTTCCTTAGTGCATGAGCTCTTGCAAATAGTACTGTCACCCTCGTCCCTACCAATGATATAAGGTATCTTTTTGGCATCTTTCAAGGTAGAAAGTTTCCTGGAAATAATCCAGATTCTGCGTACCCCCCTCCACCCCTCACAAAAAAACGGCCAGCTTAAGTTGCTGCTTGGTATATTTCTCTGATTTTCTCGACCAGTTCTTTGTACTTCTGCATTTTTACCTACTTCGCCATCACGATGAGACCACCATTTCTATCAAGATCACAAAATGGCTGTTTTTTGCCGAAGTGTCATCTCAAAGCAACTTTTCTATCAAATGAAGTTATTATTATAATTGTTGATGTGGATGTTTTCGATATTTGCCAGAAAGAATTCAAATTATGGAAAACAAAAAAAGATTCTACGTTCGTGGACAAAGGCGAAAATGATGAATTTGACAGAGGGAAATCGAAGCGATTGAAGTATACTATATATGAAAGAGAAAATAATGGAAGGAAATTGCCAATTGACGTCTGGATAATTAGTCATAAATCAACAAACATTAGCATTCATTAAATCGGGCCACCTGACGAGTACAATACTGTCTGTGTGAACAAAATAAAAAGTAAGAAAATAAATATAACGGCTGGTCATGATTTGTTTGTATTTGTTTGCATCTATTTTTCAAAATATTAGGTCTCTTCTCACGGGTTTTTCAGATTTAATTTACAGGTGTTTATTCTTTAAATAAAAGAATTATTGATTTTTCTTCGGTTTAGCAAGAAAATTTTAATGGTGTTCTGTCGATACTTCTCATCTCTTTTTTCTTTTCAATCTAACGGAACTACTCGACATGAAAGAGATGAAATAGCATATATATATATATATATATATATATATATATATATATATATATATATATATATATTGTGTGAGTAGCTAGGCACTATTTTTCATTGATACATGTTTCATTAAATAATATAGACAATTTTTGTCTATTTTATGTACATTCTGTTCATATCGTCTCCAGCCTCTCGTATGCACAAGTTTGTCGTTGCTTGGAAATTTTCCATGTAAACAAAAACAGACTATGATTATTGTTTTGTCCGTGTATTGTTTAATATATTGTAATGTAATTGTCATCTTTGATAATGGCTTATGTAAGCCGAAAGCTTAGATAAGATTAAAAAATATGTATCAATATTGTGATTTTCTTTCTTCTTTTAATGATAATGTTATTAAGCTTATCAGACGATATGAAAAGAATTTGCTTAAAATAAATAGACAACACTTGTCTATATTATTTAATGGAACATGCATCAATATATATATATATATAGAGAGAGAGAGAGAGAGACAGACAGACAGACAGACAATCAGACAGAGTGGGTGCGATGAGTAAATTGCTCCAATGTGAACATTTCAGAGTGTTTGGATGTCAATCTGAGGACAGTGCAAAGGATTCGGAAAGAGTTGGATGAGTCTAATGGTGATTACGAAGGTGTTTGGAGTGATCACTAGTGATGGTGACGTTATGACTCCATTCATCTTCCCACAGGGCCTCAGACTTGACACAGAAACATACATCATGTGCCTTGTGGAAGTAGTGCTGCCCTGGGTCAAGAGTGTGGCCGCTGGAAGACCCTATGTTTAGTAAAAGAACTTGCCACCATGCCACACAAGCAGAAGTGATTACTGCTCTTCACAGCTTTCTTTTCTTTATTACATGTGAATTACCTTGAATTCTTAGGAAAGATATTGGAGCGATTTTCCATGGCCAATTATAGAGTTTTCATTCTCTTTTACTAGTTGCCATCCTATTCTAGATAGCCAAAGATACTCTGTTACTTATCTAACAGCGCTGTTGTGGGGGTTCTAAGATATGGATCAAGATTTTTCCCAAGGGCGTTTGTACGGATGTGAACACAACGGACAACCTGGAATTCGAACTCGTCACTACGATTTCAATGTCTGTACCGATATGTGCCACAAATTTGCACACCTTGTTCATCACGCTTATTATTTAATATTATTTATCATATAATTTTCTCTGCGGCACGACTATTTTCTTCCGTTGTTTTAAACTTACTTTTGTTTTTTTTAAATACAAGTGCCGGTATGATTAAATAATTTCCGTCATTTTTTTCCTCCCTCGGGCACAGTGTTTTTGCGTTTTTTCCACTGAGTTCGTGTATACATAGAAACGTTGGTTAATGAATTTGCTGACATTCTATTTCGTTGGACTCAGTGAAAACGGGAGAGCCATAACCGATCAGTAAGTAAAATAAGGACTAGATGTGATATCCCTAGACATAGGCAGTGAAATGAGAACTATCTACGCCTGTAGATTGAATAAAGTGCTCAGTTCAGAATTCCTTGTGGGTTACCCAGACCAAATATCATTTGAGGTAAGTGTGGTTAATTTTGTAATTTTCAAAAAAAAAAAAAAAAAAATGAAAAGATTTTTGCTTATAATTGAAAGTACCTGGGAAAATAAAAATATTTGAAAGAAAACTTTGGTATTTTGCTTGATCAATTTTCTATAGCCACCAGGAAATTAATTCGATGACTTGAAAAGATAAACAGACATAATACGTATAAATAATTTAACCAAACCTTCTTGAATGGAAATATGCTGCCTATACACATACATCACACAAATATATATAAATATATATACTGATGTATGAGGGTCAAGCAACTCAGTTCCTGGGAATCGACAGCCAAACCCCTGGTTATAGTGTTGAAGGCTTTGTGCCGAACCAACCACACATTGAAGAGATCTGGTGTACTACGTGCCACAAGCTCCCCATTTTTTTTTAATTCAGAGTTGTCATTCACCTAGACAAGTTGCCAGCAAAGGCTATAGAACCCAGTCTGACCTGCTATTTAGCTGGCAGGAGAAGACGATTCATACCTTTGCCAAGGGTACTAGAATGTAATGGATCTGACTGGAATTCGAACTCGGCTCTCCGAGTCCTTAATCCGAGCCGCTATCCATTATTTCATCTGTCTCCTATTATATATGTAGCAAAGCAATAGGAAGCATAAAATCTGCGAGGTCGTCAAAGAAAACGAATATTAATAAATGAAAATCACAATTAAGAAAGGCAAGATAAAATGAGAAATACAAACACCTATACAAACCATAAAAAGACTAAATAAGCAAGACAATGGAAGCACGCTAGCCAGCAACACTATTCGCTCCTTAATTTTCAAGCTACTATGATCGTCAGGCCACCAGGACCACACACACACACACACACACACACACACACACACATATATATATATATATATATATATATATATATATATATATATATATATATATATATATATATATTACATGAATCATTCATACAAAAAGTAGATTAGTAAAAGTTAATGATATAAATGGCGAAATTTATATCATTAACTTTACTAATCTAATTTTTGTATGAATGGTTCATGTAATATAAATTGAACTGCACCACATATTTGATATATATATATATAGAGAGAGAGAGAGACAGACAGACAGACAGACAGACAGAGAAAGACTGTTATTAATCAATTTTAAATAGATCATTCGGAATCATGATAATTTGATTCAACATTTAAAGTTCATGCCTCAGTACTGGTAATATCTTGTTTGCCTTTATATATGAGTTCGATTTCCAGTCGGCTTCGTTGCATTCACTTATACCCAGATAGCCTAGAATCCAGATCCCCCCTAGCTATGGGTTAAATAGTAGTATATTTATCTGGAAAAGTCATTGATTTTGCTTAATTGTTAATACAATATTCGCTCATAAAATATTATTCTTATAATATAATAATAATAAAGATACTATTAATATAAAAATAAATCAATCCCTACATTTATTTTTTTTCTTTTATTTCATTCCTTATTTCCTTCTTACTTCCGAGGTCTCCTTCTTGACACATCTGGGACATTCGCTTCTAGAAACTGTTTGCCTCCCCTTCGTTGAACAAGTAACTCATTCTTTTTCTTTTCATTCTTCATTTTTTTCCTTCTTATCCTCTTCTTTTCACCTAAAGGATTTTTTTTCTTTCTCCTTGCGCCTCTTTTGAGTTTGCTTTCATTCTGGCCTTTATTCGTTTGAAATTTATTCCTACTTTGCCTGACTTTCTCGCCTCTCCCCCCACCACCTTTCTTATGAATGCTCGCTTATTTGTTAAGGCTGAAACATCTGGCATCCAATAAATTGATCCATCTCTGAAAGACTTAATCGATCTGATATTCACTAGTACATACCATAGATTCAGGCCTATGAATCTCTAAAAAATAAATTTTTATTGATACCGACCAGCTGATCATCATAACATTTTATAACCATGCATAAATATACGTCTGCTCTATGATTACAGAGAAGTTACACAGATAGATAGATAGATAGATAGATAGATAGATAGATAGATAATGATTAGAATGAGATAGATAGATAGATAGATAGATAGATAGATAGATAGATAGATAGATAGATAGGGACTGTATTAATACATCAGTAAAATACTAACGCCTGATGATATGTATTAATACACATCGGGATATGATAGCATTTGTGCAGCGTTTTTACGTGTTTTGATGTAATATCTTAAAATGAATATATATATATATATATATATATATATATATATATATATATATATATATATATATATATATTATAATTGCTGGTCCACAAACGGTGGACCAGCAATTATAATATATATATATATATATATATATATATACTTCATTTTAAGATATTACATAAATTACTTTTTGAAGGGCCGAATACAGAGACCTGGTGCACTAAGTGCCACAAGGTCCCCAAACGACCCTCCGTAGGATTTGAATTCAGAGTTGTCCTTCTCCTAGACCAGTCGCCATCCAAGGCTATAGAAACCAGTCTATCCTGTTATTTACCCATAGCTTGAGGGAGAAGAAGAGGTTTCATACCTTTCCCAAGGGTATTAGCACGTAAGTGAATGTAATGGATTCGACTGGAATGTAGGTGGTCTCTGCTATGCCACTGTTCTTTTTAACTTCAATACGTATTACGCGTGTTAAATTATCCAAGCCTTCGTACATCGTTATGGATTCAAAAAATGTCAGCTGTATTTTTCTAATTCAGCGTATATGTGTCTTTTTTTTTTAATTTTTATTCTATTTTTACTTTCTCCTTGCTTAGTCCAAGGAATTCTCATCACCCTTCTGTAGATCTACATTTCCACTGTCTCCATCTTTCCTTTGTGTGAGTCAATCATCCATCATTCACTGACATTTTGAAAGATTGACTTTATATGATATTTTAGCACTTTCTTTCTAACGAGGTTTCTCCAGTGTTCTTCGAACATGTTCCTGGCATTGTTTATTTTACTTTTGTTATTACTGTTTTGTTATTATTTTGCTATTTACTTTTGTTATTAATTTTTAAATTCTTCCTTCTTTTGTGAAGTATTTTTTCTGCCGATGATTAAGCCACTAATGCATTCTCACAGGAGTTGTAATATTTTAGATGTTTTAACATATATGATGTTCCAATAATATATGGGCACATACTTCATGCTTTAAAAATATTTTCTCTTCTTCCATTAACTGATGTCCACTTCCCCTCATTTTCTTGTTCGGTTTTAAAGAAAAAGTTTCCAAACAAATTGACTGGATGAAGAGATAATTTTGAAAAGACATAAAGTTTAAACACCTCTTTTTTTTCTGATTGGGATAATCTACAGAATGAAGTTTATATAACTTTTTTTTATTATTATTATCGGAGCATTTTAAAAGGTTCGTTCGTTGATACTTGCAGCTGAATCACATAAAATGCCAATTGTACTTTTCTGGCGGAAGCAGGACATTTTAAACACTTAAAGACTGAATTCAGCATCAACATCTATTGATTTTCGTTCTAAATGTTACTGTAACATTTATCCGTTATGGTGAGCGATTTTAATTATATTTCAAGGAACAGCCGGAGTAGCACTTGACAACGAGGCAAGTGTAAAATGCGACTTCGATTGATCCAGATAATAAAGAATTATAAAGACCTGATATCCCAATCCCAATTAATCCTAGAACACTAACCATGGGTATATAGTACCCAGCGCAATTTTTCCTATTTTTAATTACAATTTTCAGTACCCGATTTTGAAGCCTGAAGATCCAGAGAAAAATAAAATTACCTGGTAAAATAAATTATTACAAATTGAGCCTGAAAGTGATCTGTTTTTCTTTAAATTAAATTATTTGCTCTGACTTAACATTGAGCTCTCAGGATTTCATCTTCCTTGGGATTATCCATACGGTTTACCAAGATTTTTTTATTTATTATATATATATATATATATATATATATATATATATATATATATATATATATATATTCACTTTCAAAAGGTGAAACGAAAATGAATTTAAAATTTACACTTTTGACTGGGAAGTATTAAGCTTATATAAGTTTACATAGAAGTTAATGAGGAATGTTGTGAGAGACATGGTCGAGTTTAGAGAGGGAAGGGAGAGTTTTAAAATTTATTTTTATATTTCTTTTTATTATAATACTTAATATACAAGGTAAGACGCTTGTTCAGGCGCATTTGTGTTCAACACCCATTCAACATCTACAGACCTAAGGTACAGTTTCTGAGAAAGGGCGTGTTATCTAGCGTAATCTTCATGAAGTTTAGCACTGAACAATTTATCCAATCTATGGAGGTAGACTATTCTCATTTCACACCCCAGCGAACAAGAGACACATCCTAGTAGATTAAAGCGTTCCTTAGAATATATATGCTTACCTGAACTCAATTACTGGCTTTGGTAGTGCTAAATGATTCACATACTTTGATTCTGCAGGCGAAATGGACAAGCGGCACAAAAGTGATTAAGCCAGCTCAGTATTGTTTTTTTTTTCAACCCTATAGACTCCACACCCCCACCATCTACGTCCTCGATATGACAATAAACTACATCCGCGTCCTGGGTAAGACGATAAACTATGTCCAACAGCAAGGCCTCTGATCAGAAGGTTTTGAGGAGCGTGGAACTACCTCTTAATTGCTGGTGTTCCCAGGTCCACCAAACTGCGGTCAAAACACTGAAGTGTAAAAATAGGTTTTAATACCAGAAATACTTTGTAAAAAAACAGCAACAAATTTTTGAAGGAAAAAACTTTCAGCAATACTTTTAAAAAAAGTATTACCAGTAATACAAACAGCTACACATATTTGGAAAAAAATATTACCAGCAATAGATTTTTGAAGAAAAAATATAACCAGCAATATATTTTTGGAAAAATATATTACCAGCAATAAAAATTGTCGGCATTAAATAACCCATCGGGGTTGATATGCCGTAAAACCAAACCAAACACCCACCGTCGCTACGTGCTGCTGATGTGATTTCAGGGGTAGAGTTGCTATCATATTGCCCAATGTTCCAAGCAAATCTACAGAGGCTTGACTCCGGTGATATTACTCCAAGGTTGGGTATGAAGAAGAGATGAATGAAGTCATGAACTTCCATGGATATTGAAGCAAAACGTGCTTGGCTGGTATTCGATCTCAAAACGCCGATCTCAATTTTAGTAAAGATTGCTACGACAACATCTAGTGAGTATTGATTGATATGAAATATCTCCTGAACATGGAAAGCAGAATGAGAAAAATGTAACTCCCTCAATGAAATGAATAAACAGTTCGGTTTGAAATTACAAGACAACCGGTTGATACCGCGACTGAAATTTGTGAGGCGTTACAATCAAGAGGATTATTGTGGTTTGTATAGCAAAGAATTTCATAAGGATGATTTCTCATGAAAGAAATTTCAGCAAAAAAGTTAAAGAAAGAATGTGGCTTCAGATGATGTAAAATCTATCTGTAAACCTTAGAATTACTGCAGAAATAGTTTTTAAATATTTTTAAATTTTAAAAACTACAAATTAAAATGTAATCTTTAAAAAGATTTTCTATAACAAAATCTGCAAGATCTATAAAATCCTATGGATTACTACTAAATTTATCAAAATTTCTTACGTAAAAATTAAATAATCTGTAAAAATCTGAAAATGTTCTGTAAAATCTGTAAACCTAGAGATATAGGATTCATTTATATTTCTTACGTACTTTTAAATCTAAAAATTAAATAATCTGTAAAAATCTGAAAATTTTGCTGTAAACATTCTCTAAAATCTGTAAACCTTGAGATTACTAAATGATCTAATTATGTTTCTTGCGTACTTTTAAAATAAAATATTAAATAATAATTTCTAAAAATCAGGAAATTGTCTGTAAAGTATCTGGAAAATCAGTAAACCCAGAGATTGCTATATGAATTTATCTTTATTTCTTATGCAATTTATTCTAAAAATTAAATAATAGTCTGTAAAAATCTGGAATTTTTCTGTAAAAATCTGGAAATTTTCTGTAAAAATCTGGAAATTTTCTGTAAAATCTGTAAACCTAGAGATTACTACAGAATTTATCTATATTTCTTATCTACTTTCAATCTAAAAATTTGTAAATTTTTCTGTAAAAATCTCTAAAAATTATCTTCCAGAACTTCGTAAGAATTTTTTCTTTTTTTGTTGTTGAGCCTTATTGTTTATTTGTTTTTATTTAAATTTACTTTTTAACATTACTTCCTTAAAAAAAAAAAATCAAGTAATAAAACAACTCCTTTCTATTTTCTCTTCTTTTGCACCTGGGCCACAAACCACTTATGTTCTACAGGTGGGAGCCACCTAGAAAAGGACAAATATTTGTTTCAACTTATTTCAATGAGACTCAAAACGCTTGATCTTCTGGCTTACGGCCATATCTCATTGAAACACCGATTCTCATACGATCACAGAAATTAAACAACGTCGAGTCTGGTTAGCCACTAAGATGAGTGACCCCTTGCGAATACAAAGAAGTTGTAAGCTTGGAAGTGCGGGTGGTGTAATAGATAACAGCTCGGAATGAGAACTCGGAGATGAGTTCGAATTTCAGTCGGATTCGTTATATTCACGTACGCGCAGATACCCATGATAAAGGTATGAAATCACTTCTTCTCATTCTCCCCATCTATGGGTCAAATAGTAGGACTTGCATCAGAAAATTCGTATTATATTCGTAACAGCAATAAAAAAACTTGTCGGCATCAAATAACCCATTGAGGTTGATATGCCGTAAAACAAAACAAACAAAACTAAACCAATCTCTCTGCCTACCTGTCTGTCTCTCTGTCCACCCCTATCTATCTATCTATCTATCTGGAAAAATATATCTATCGGCTATAACCCTATCTATCTATTTCTCTCTCTCTCTCTCCTCTCCCTCTCCATATCTATCTATCTATCTATCTATCTATTTGAAAACATATATTACCAGCAATAAAAACCTTGTCGGCATTAAATAACACATTGAGGTTGATATGCCTTAAACCAAACCAAACCAATCTCTGTGTCTGTCTGTCTGACTCCCTCCCTCTCTCCCTATCTATCTATCTATCTATCTATCTATTTGAAAAAAATATATTACCAGCAATAAAAATCTTGTCGGCATTAGATAAACCATTGCGGCTGATATGACTTAAACCAAATCAAACCAAATCAAACCAAACCAAACCAAATCAAACCAAACCAAACCAAACTTGCGAAATTTCAATAAAAAAGGAAAAACAAAGAAAAATAAATGAAGTCTTTCTACATACATTCATTCTTCCCTTTGTGCTGGCTGTGCATCATTCGCGCATGCTCACATGTATTTCAGCTCACCACTTCAATCTTTGTCTCTAGCGCCAAATCACTTCATGCTATTTTCATTTACCCCACCCCAGCTTCGCCAAATATACCAACTTACCAGTAACGAATTGGTGGTTCAATATCATTTGCTCGTTGGTGTTTTTTTCCAGTAGAGATGATTAGTTGTTAGTTCATCGCCTCACTGCCTTCGAACAAGATGGATGCTAAAGAGACGAACATAATTTCACTTGTAAAAGACAGGAAATAGTGAAGATTCATGATCACCTACCACCTGACTGGTGAAAAAATTATGATTCATTTCTAAGTTACTGTTAATCAAGTTACTGTTTATTTTTTTAGAATATTTTCAAGTCTAATAGATTAAGCCGACAGCGTGTTGGAAGCATCAAATATAATTGGACAATTTCTAAACTCATTAAGTCCTTTCTTGTTACCCGATACACAAATATCATACACCCACGCCATTCGCAGACGGTACTGTTTCGCTATATCACAGCTCCTCAATGCATCAAGCCCGGATCGAAACCCAACCGATTTGGTGTCAGTCAGAGCTTCTACCACTAAGCCATCTTCACGCCACAGAACGAGCAGCCAAATCTAGTGTATTGTTTTTACAAACGTAAACAAACGCCAATCAGCCAAAGTGCTCCATTCATTTTACTGAATAGCTTTGCATTTACGCAGTTGACCGTTGTTTTTAGAATTAGCTTATGTTCAACAGTGCTCAATATATTTTCAAGAGCTAAATGTGTGTGTTTGTGTGGGTAGCAAAGACTAATGCCAGGGTCAAATTTTGCTAATAACAAAAAAGAAAAAAGAGTAAGGAGTTATTGAGAGACATGATCGTCCTCGTCCCCAAAGAGCACGGAAACTGATGAATGTAGAAGCAATAAAGTATAGGAAAAACTTCACATAGATTTCTAAGATTTCCATAACATTCACTCAATTTTTTTAATTCCAGTTATACACTCACACAACAGAAAATTATGGTCGGAGATAAATTTAAAATATATTATCATCATCATTGCTATTGTTGCTTTTTATGAATACACTCCAGCGTTGTTGTGACAACTTTCCGGTCTTTCAACATCATACCTCTTCACACAAGCGATCCTACCGAGACAATACCTATTCCTGTAGACGATCCTGAAGTAAGTATCCACTAAGCACACAACAACGGGCATATAAAGAGCTGACACTGCTGATCGTGAAATAGCAACCGACCAATCAAAAATTTCCCCACGTCACTTCCTCCTCAGGCAAGACGAGACAGAAATTTTTCAGTTTTTAATTCTAACTCACACAGTATAAAATTATGATCGGAAATAAATTTAAAATATATTATTATTATTATTATTTGTTAAATATTAAATATTTTTTTTCTTTTTAAATTTGTGCTAGCGGCCTTTTCCAAGTCTTGACAATTGTCGACGATGAGATGCGAAACTAATATTTGTGACCTTTTCGATTACATTTTGCTTTTTTTTCGATTTATGATGCTGCGTTTTATTCACCCTGTCTTTCATTTGTTATTACCATTCCTTCTTCTTCGTTTCATTCAATCGATAATTCTTTTTCCTTAATGTTTTCTTTCTCCTTTTCTTCTCTTTTCATTTCGTTCCTACTTTTTTCTTTCTACTTTCCTTTATTTTTCTTTCGTTTTACTTTCATTCATTCATCTTTCCTTTCTATCGTTTCTTTTCTTCGTTCCATTCATCATATTTTGTTCCTTTTTACTTTTCATTCCTTTTCTTCTTCTTTTTTCTTTCTTTCTTATCTTTGTTCTTTTTTTTCTTTTACTTTCATTTTCTTGCTTTTTTCTTTATTGTATTCGTTATGATTTTTCCTTATTTCTGTTTATCTTTCTTTCTTTCCTTCTCTCTTTCTCTGACTTTCTTTTCTTTTTATCATTTTTTCTGTAATTTTCATTTTTTCTTTTTATACCATTTTCTTTCTTTTTTCTTTCTCTTTTATTTTTCTATCACTTTCCTTATGTTTGATTTTCCTTTCTTTTTCTTTTTTCTTTTTTCTTTTTTCTTCACCATTCGTTCATTTTCTTTTTTCTGTTCTTCCTTTCTCTTTTTTATTTCTCTTCTTATTTTCTATTTTCTTTTCAACTTTCTTCCTTTCATTCTTATTTCCATTCTCCATTTTTCTAACTTGGAGCCGACATTTTTTTTTGCCTTTATTTAGAATTTAATTTTTAAGATTAAACAAAACAGAAAATTCTGTTTTCTTTCTCATTCGAAATTTTTTTTTTATATATATATATCCAACCGAAGGTAATAAATAAATTGTCTTATGTTTGCAATGCCATCGAAAATTGCCTGGGGAAGAAAGATTATTTCTCTGCTATGTCTTCGATTGTTTTCTGATTTCAAAGATATTTCTAATGTCTGTTTATTTTCGAAAGAAGATTGATGCCATTTCTATTGAAGTTAATACCGAACTTTCAGACAATACGCTTTGACAATAATCATTATGAGGAAAATATTTCCTTTTCTACAGAAGGAATCAAAGATATTACCTCTCATATATATATATATATATATATATATATATATATATATATTCAGACAGTGTTGGAAGATCGCCTGAAACTCACAGTCAAAGGTATGAAATTGACCGTACATTGTTGATTCCTATGTCCACAGTGTATATCTGTAAAAACTCTATATTCAATCAGGGGCATTTTTTTCACATATTTTTGACGGAGATAATTATTCTTTAGTGATACGATTCTTTAATTAACCCATAGCCGGGGGCGGGGCAAGATAATAATAATATATTTTAAATTTATTCCCGATCACAATTTTATACTGTGTGAGTTGGAATTAAAAAACTGAAAATTTTTTGTCTCGTCTTGCCTGAGGAGGAAGTGACGTAGGGCGTTTTTTGATTGGTCGGTTGCTATTTCAAGGTCATAACTTTTCAAAATGCATTTATGCATAAGAAACTACAAAGAACCTAACGGGAGTTGAACCTCGGCTCTCCGATTAAAAATTCCGTAATATTATCCACTTACACTACCCTCATATCCAAGCATCTGATATTCTCAAGCGGTCATTCATCTAGGTACTGACAACGGTTGACGTTGTTTAACTTCGATGATCGTACGGGAGCCGAATATTTCGACGCTATATGGCTGTAAGACGATGATATGAAAAAAAATTTGATTGAAATAAACGGCCACAGCTGATATTTGAACTCGACTTGCAGATATCGTTTTCATTGCTTTTAAACTATCAAGATTACTGTTCATTTACTTTTTTTTCTTCTTTACCACACTTTAAATTTCTTTCTATCTGTTGAAACTTGAGTTTATTTATGCCTAATATAAGTCAATCTGCAGGTTGTTAATTTAGATAGTGGGATGCATCAGAGACTGATCAGCTCTGATGGGGTCGTCTTGGTGAGGGGAGTAATATTTTTGTAAGACCCGAAACTGTCCAATGAACCAATCACTGACGACGCCCTCTAGCAGTAAAAAGCGTATATTCGAAGTAATTTCTCTCATTCTTTGACACTTTCTTTCTCACACGTTTCATTCTACACTTTTTGTTTCTCTTTGTTTTGTTTTTTTCTCTTTTTCAACGTGTGTTCTTCGTCATTTTTGCAAGGATTTTTTTTTATTGTTCATCCTGTTATTTCGTCAACATTTTAATTTCCATCATGGCTCTGTTTATTTTTCCTTGTTTGCTTTCATGTCTTTCTGACATTTCCCCGGCTTCACAGATAAAATTCAACATTGACAAAGCGTTCATAACTTTATCGCCTTTTAAAGAGAAGTTCGCATTTTCGACCATCCGTTCAACTCCTTGTCTAAACGCACAGACGTGTAAGCGAGTGAAGGGATATTCAATGTTCTGAGAAGTGCCAACAAGCTTTCACTTCTGCTTCTCTTTCATCGAGGACATTTTCATTACGTAAAAACAAGAAAATGTCATCTCTGGCTGCAATGTCCATACTTGGTGGAGCGGTTAGTCTGGTTCAGGAGACCAAAATATAATCTAATAGTTGTATGGTCATTGCAGTCGGAATGCGCACTGATAATTGCTACGATATCTAAAACCATGATATGAAATTGCAAACAGGTCCAATGTAACTGTATCAAAACAATCGTTTCATTATCAGTAAAAGAAATAAAGAAAATCCCAATGGTTACAATTGATGCCA